TCTCTGTTGAAGATCGTGCCCCGCATGTTAAAGCCCACACGTTTCATAACACCTTCTAGCGCAATGTTGAACAGGAGGCAGAAAAGACCATCGCCTTGTCGAAGTCCTCTGCGAGTTTCTAACGAGTTCGACAACGCACCCGATATCTTCAAGCAGCACTGTACACCATCCACCGTAGCCCTGATCAGTCTGGTCAGCTTCCCGGGAAAACCGTTCTCGTCCATAATCTTTCATAGCTCTTCACGGTCAATAGTATCATAAGCGGCCTTGAAATTCGATGAATAGGTGGTGCGTAGGAACTTGATATTCGCGACACTTTTGGAGGATCTACCGCAACGTAAAGATTTGGTCCGTTGTCGGTCGCCCGTCCACAAAACCGGCTTGATAAGTTCCCACAAATCTGCTTGCTAGCGGCGATAAACGACGAAAGATGATCTGGGAAAGCACTTTGTAGGCCGCGTTAAGAATAGTGATCGCTCTATAGTTCTCCATTCTAGTTTGTCGCCTTTTTTTATATACTGGGCATATTACTCGCTCTTTCCACTCCTCCGGTAGCTGTTCTGTATCCCAGATCCTGACTATCAGTCAGTGCAAACAAATGGCCAACTTATCCGGGCCCATTTTGATAAGTTCCGCTCCGATACCATCTTTCCCAGCTGCTTTGTTGTTCTTAAGCTGTCGGATAGCATCCCTTACTTCACCTATCGTGGAAGCTGGCATGTCCCCCTCATCCGCTGTACCGACGAAGCTATTCCTCCTGCCGCCTTGGTCCTCCGCCTCTGCGCCGTTCAGATGTTCATCGTAGTGCTACTTCCACCTTTCAATCACCTCACGTTCTTCCGTTAAGATACCCCCTTCCTTATCCCGACACATATTGGCTCGCCGCACAAAGCCTTGGTGGGATGCGTTGAGTTTCTTGTAGAACGTGTGCGTGTTTCTTGAGAACGATACAGCTGCTCCATTTCTTCGCACTCCAGCTCTTCCAGGCGGCGCTTCTTATCCCGGAAAAGATGGGTTAGCTGTCTTCGCTTCTCTTTATATCGCTCCACATTATTTATTTTTTCCAGGTAGTTACTTGACTTCTTTATTTATTTCCATTTCGTCAAACCAGTGTAGACTACATACAATGATTATTACAATGTTTACTTACATACAATGGCGGGTTCCTTGCTGCAGCATCGCCGCCCACGCTGCGTACTTCTCGTCCAAAACCGTCTGACACTCTTCGTCGAACCAATCGTTCCGTCGATTCAGCTCCACGAACCCAACGGCACCTTCAGCAGCGCTGTTAATGGCTGCTTTCACGTTGCTCAGCAGTCCTCAAGAGCCTACTATATACTTGTAACATAACAAAAATTGATATTTGAATACCTAATGAATACCTGTGTGGCATTGTTTTGGTATTTTTCTTTGGTCAGGCTAATTCATACCAATTTAAGGTATTCGATAAAATTCGACCATGCACGCGATAGGCCCCTATGATTCTGAACAGATTTCTTTACGCCTGAATCAGCGCTATATATAAACACACGATCGATCAGATCAACTCAAAATTAAGAGCATACTAATAGATTCAGCGAAACCTATATTGATTTTCCAGATCTGGCGTAACATTTGATAACTTTTTGTAAACAAAAGTTGTAAGGCCCTTTACACGCGAACCGAAGTACGCCCACGCAAACCAATACAATTATCGGAAAGGGGAAAATTTCCTCCACCCGATGATGTTGTTGGCTTACATGGGCGTTTTTGGTTCGCGTGTAAGGGGCCTTAGCACTTTTGTTTACAAAAGCTTTTGTGCCGTTATCAAATGTTACGCCTGAGATATTCGAGAAGATTTTCCTGGAAATGCCCGGAATATTAAACACACTTTTGAGTATACCCACTTTTGACGAAATTGAGTCGAGTCAACTCAATTTGGTCAAAAGTGAGTTGACTTTTCCGGGCAAAAGCTATGGAATTTTCTAGGAAAAAATGCGCGAATAGGAGATGATGTTGTTAGTTTACGTGGGCGACCCTCAGTTGGCGAGAAGAGGGCCTACAAAAGTTTGTTTACTTAAAACTTGTATGCCCTTTTCACATGTGGCTTTTGAAATATGAGATCAGTTTACTCATGAACCGCAAAAAGTGCAGGTACTTAGCGATGAGTGAATTTGCCTCATGTTTTCCAGTGGAAAACCAGAAAAATGTACCGGAAAATGAGGATAATTGACAAAAAAAATCTCAGTCTAGATCTTGACTTTTCTCTTATGCGGATTTTTTTACCTGGAAAAACTCAGAACGATTTATGAGTAAATTGAACTCAAATATGGATGATCTCATTAGCCGTGTAAAACTTTCCAGGAAAAACTTCTCGAATATGAGGTAAATCCATGAAAATTTTACTCAGTCTAGAAGTATACTAATGGACTGAAAGAAAGCTCTATCGATTTTGCTCATATTCGGGGAGTTTTTCCTGGAAATCACGGAAAATACAACACACTTTTGAGTAAATCCATTTCTATAAAAGTTGAGTCCACTCGACTCAATGTTGAGCTGATCTGAAAGACTATTGGCGTTGACGGCGACTCTGTAGCTCTTTACTCCTATGAGAAAATTCATAAGCAAACGTCAGACTGTGCGTGAAACATGGCGGGCTTGGTACTATCCTTTCACTCCACCGAAAATTCCCATAAGAAACTGTCTAAATTTGCTGGAAGAGCAAATTTTTCGACGGTGCCGTCAACGCCAATAAGACCATGGTTTTACAAACTGGCTGCGTTCCTATACGAGCGCTTATTCACCACAAAGTTTCATCATTGTTTCAAGCTTCCAAATTCCCTCTCGGATGAGTTTTGGGATATCTGAATAAAGTAGGGGAAATGACGGCTTCGGCATGACAGACTATTTTTGGCAACCCAAATTGAAACACTATTTTCACTGGATTTTCTTACGAAAACACTTCGCTGAATGCATGCAAACGATTCTTTATGCTTTCAGCTTCAATTTGACTATATTTTTACCACTGAGAAAAAGTAATCTAGCAAGATTTTCTTGAAATGCAACACTCGCACTACAAATTGTAGCTGATTTCGAGTTGCCGATAATAGAACAGCAGATTTACATGCAGTTCAAATGGAACGGTTGCCGAAGAAAAACTGGTTGCCGACAATACTCGCTCTCACTAGAGAAGATTGGAGCTGAAATTGTTAGAGCAGCTGACAGCAAAAGATTGTAAACAAACCAATACTGCATATGTGTCCGTTCCTTAGAGAAAAAGGCTATAGAAGAAAGGTCGCTGCTTAGGTTGCCGAGAATACGTAAATTCCCCTACTTTCCGTACTTATCTGATTTTACACTCCAATCATTCAATCGTTTTGTTTCATATGTTAATCTTTCGTTTTTTAAATCGTTCATTTAATACCAATAGAACGAATATTATAACCTGAATCACTCACCTAACCAAGTATTTTGAGCAAAAACTTTGACATGTCAAATTAAATCTAAATAGTCGACTATATTCTCATCATGTATGTATATTACACTCACAACTTTTACTGCGTACGTACTACACAATTTATTTCTTAATGATATCAATCATCACACTAACTTACTATTATAAGTGATATGTCATATCAAGATAGCTTATGTAACGTAATATCAACTTGGCATTATACTGCACCAACTTTCCTATGATCCGTTGTATTTGAAACATGTTTGTGCCATTTTGAAGAAAAATGAATCGATTCAAAAGATCGATTCAAAAAGATCGATTCGAAATGATTGATTAAATCGGTGAATCGATTATTTTCGAAAAATGAATCGATTCACTAAGATCGACTCTTGCCACAAGATCGCCCAATGGTATTCTGAACAGATTTCTTTACGCCTGAATCACCGCTACCTATATATCAACACACGATCTATTAGATCAGCTCAAAATTGAGTTGAATTTTCCGGTTAAAATCCATGGAAAACCAGGAAAAACTTTTTGAATATGAGGAAAATCCATGGAAATTTCACTCTTTCTAAGAGCATACTAATAGATTCAGTGGAACCTGTATTGATTTTCCAGATATTCGAGGAGATTTTCCTGGATATGCCCAGAATATTAAACTCACTTTAGAGTATACTATATATATCCACTTTTGACAAAATTGAGTCGAGTCACCTCAATTGAGTCAAAAGTGAGTTGACTTTTCCGGGCACAAGCCATGGAATTTTCTAGGAAAAACTGCTCGAATAGGAGGAAAAACCCTTTGAAAATTTTACTCAGTCTAGAAGTATACACGGCCAAAGAGATCACCCCAAATATGAAATCAGCTTACTCATGAACTGCAAAATGTGCAGGAACTCAGCAATTAGTGAATTTGCCTCATGTTTTCCAGTAAAAAACCTAAAAAATCTACCGGAAAATGAGGATGATTGACAAAAAAAATCTCAGTATATATCTTGACTTTTCTCATATTCTGGATTTTTTACCTGAAAAAAACTCAGGGAAATTTACTCAGCGTTGCACCCTGCACTTTTAACGGTTTATGAGTAAATTGAACTCAAATTTGGATTGATCTTATAGCCGTGTAACACTTCCCAGGAAAAACTTCTCGAATATAAGGAAAATCCATGAAAATTTTACTCAGTCTAGAAGTATACTAATGGACTGAAAGAAAGCTTTATCGATCTGACACATATTCGGGAAGTTTTTCTTGGAAAGCCCGGAAAATACAACACACTTTTGAGTAAATCCATTTTAACGAAATTGAGTCAACTCGTCTCCATGTGACCTGATCTGATCGACTATGTGGAACATCGATTTACAAACTGGCTGCGTTCCTACATGAACGCTTATTCACCACAAAGTTTCATCATTGTTAAAAAGCTTCCAAATTTCATTACTTTTCACCTCAACTCAAGCTTATCCTCATCGCATAAGCTTACATCGAATCTCACCACCACCACACTCATGTCTTCTATGTTTATCTCATCTCCCACCCTTCTTCATCTTCTTCTATTCACCACAGCAACAAAGAAACATCGCTTCCGGCGAAGAATACCGTAATGGCCGTATTCAGCCCAATGACCAAATCTCCCGGGCCGTGCCGGTTCCTTTCCGGGACCCGTCGGCAGAACCACCAATGTCGCCGTGACGTAGGCCTTCCGGATGCCATCAAGGAAGCCCGCCGGCTCGCAGTCACCCACTGCGAGGAACAGTTTCGCTATGACCGTTGGAACTGTTCTATCGAAACACGAGGAAAGCGAAACATATTCAAGAAGGTCGGTCGGTGTTGGGTTCAATGATGATGTTGATTGATCGGATTCAGTTTTTTTTTCATCGATGATTGAGTTTTGATTTGTCAATTTTTGCAGGTGTATCGCGAAACGGCGTTCGTGCACGCGTTGACGGCGGCGGCCATCACCTATTCGGTGGCACGTGCCTGCGCCGAAGGGAAGATGTCCAAGTGTCAGTGTGCGTCAGAGAAAAGGCCGGAAGCGACACGGCTGGCGTGGAAATGGGGCGGCTGCAGCGATAACATAAAGCACGGCAAACGAGTGACGAGAAACTTTCTGGAGCTCCAGCCGGCGGACGGTGATCCGGTGGCGGAGATGCTGCGGCATGATAGTGAAGTATGATGATGGTGGAAATTATAGTTATTGAAGCTCGTCGCTCAATTGGATAATTTGCAGGTTGGCATCCAGGCCGTAACGTCCACTATGAATGATCGCTGCAAGTGTCACGGAGTGTCAGGCTCGTGCTCGCTCAAGACCTGTTGGAGAAAATTGGGGGATTTCAATGCCACGGCAGCCTCGCTCAGATTCAAATACCATCATGCCATTCGGAAGATTCCGATCAACAATAAGACATCGAGAAGAGCAATTCCCAAGGAGTTGAGAGATAGGGTACACTTGTCTATTCAGACAAATCGATTGCCAAGTTCAAATAACATTCAAATTCACTGTTTTAGGATGCATCGTACGACCAACTGTACTACTTTGAGACGTCGCCCACATTCTGCTCCGTAACGCGTGGTCGTCGTTGTCTACATCCGGACAATTGTGCCACTCTGTGCTGTGGCCGTGGCTACACGACCAAGGTGATCAAAACCATCGAAAAGTGTCGCTGCCGATTCACAAACGGACGCTGCTGTCAAATAGTGTGTGATTACTGCGAGAAATACGAAGATCGATATTACTGTAAATAAGACACCAACATCCAAATCATGACATGTTTACAATTTTTAATAACTCCATACTAATTATTATCAATCTATTTATTACAACTAGCGCATAAGGATCGAGAGTAATGAATGTAGGAAAGGAAAAAAGTAGTCATTTTGTGAACGTTTCATTTGAACTTGCACAAAGAAATTTCAATGTCACATTTTCATGTACTAGGTTGCAATCTCATGAATTCATTGCTAATATTACAAAAAAATCCAACAAATTCAATCTATTCGTGTATGTTGAAGTGTTAACTTATACAATAAACGTGTACCTAGAGCTAGAGTAGATGCGCTGTACTTGAATTTTGCTTTCCTTAGGGTTAAGACGCGACTTAGAATTAATGCACACGATGATTGTAACAAACTTTATGTCCTACTCTTTGAAGCCAATAAATTTCCATGTCTGTAGATAGAATTCGATGGTTTCGCATTTGTCACTAACTAATATTTAGAATCTACTTAAAATCAACTCTCCCAATAATGTTATCCTCAGTACCGCAGCGGTTCTCAAACTAAACATCAAAATGGCCTTTCAAAATTACCAAATATAGCCATGAAACGTCAAAATACCTACAAAACGCATAAATGGCCAGCAATTTGCCATACGAGTCTTCAAAACCACGAAATAGTGGGGATATTTTTAAATAACATAACACATCTGTTTAATACCGACGGCTGAAAATCTCTTTAATAAAGATAAGATAAGATACAACTGTATCAAGGGTGTGCCAGTTTCTACAAGCACAGCTTGATACTGCTATAAACCTAATTTGTTATCAAGGAACTTCAATTTTGATTGCATTTACAATAGAGTGGGTTAAGTTTGTATGGTGGATCACAAATCCCAGCTCCCCATCACTCTTTCGATCTATATTTTGGTCCCCAATAACTGTGCCAAATTTTAACGAATTTGTTACGATCAGGATTTGCCGGAAAATTATAATGAACAAATGTAAGAGAAACAGAACAAACTGTTCATAAACTTGTCAACAATTCTAAAATTGCTGAATTTTGATCAAACCTGAGAATTAGATTGGCAAAGCTATGCAGCATGACCTAGTGTTCCGTGGATACCTTCACTGGAAATGATTGTCAAAAAAAAAATCCAACGGTCAAGACCAACACAAGGCTTACCATCGTGCGGGGCTTCTTTTGACACTTGTTTTAGATTTTTCAACTTTAAGAAATTTAACTGCTATGATAGTGAATGGATTTTTTTTTAGTAATTTTCAGCGTATGAGACATGTATGCAAGATATGAGTAGAATTAATTAGGAAACAAAAAAATGATTTATATAACAATTAAAAAACGAGCTCCTGAGCTACATGGGGGCTAGTTTTTAAACGTAGGTTGTATTTGATAGTTACATTGATTATTCTTGGCAAATGTTGATAAGTTTGATTCAATTTCAATTGATTGTCATATATTTGAGCACTTTAGAAGAAAAAAAAAGCATCATTCCGTAGATAAAGATCAAAACATAAATCAATTCAAATTTGATCTTCACAACGCGACCAATTAGCATTTCCTACCTCGTTTAGCGGGAGTTTTCGTCGGGTGAAACAATTTTGGACTTCCTTCCACTTTTAGTATAATTTTTGGATTTCGGCTCCGGATCTCATTGAGGAACGTCATCGGGTAAAACACTTTTTTTCTGGTGGAACTTTCATTTTTTTTTTTTTGGGACCCAGCGTCATTTCGATGCTCCTTTAGGAATTTCTTAAACGATTTTCCGACCAAATCGGTTTTTACTTCCACAGTGGGCAACTGACTCCATGGTACAATTCTACGCTTCCTGAAGCCCGCAATAACAATACGGCTAGTTTTCGGTGGCGGTGCCTTTAAAAGTTCGGTGATAAGGCTTCCGAGTCTGCTTTTAGGAATCGTTGCATTCTTAGAACGCTCACGATAAGCACGCCAACGTCCCAGAATCTTTCGCCATTCTCGCTTCATTGGCCCGACAGCTAACAGCTTTTGTAAACAATGACTCGTATCGATGATTTCTAGGAATTCAAGGCACGTCCACGCAGACCAACCTAACCATCGGATAGGGGAAGTCTTTCCCTACCCGATGAGGATGTTGGTTTGCGTGGGCGACCCTTGAATTTCTAGAAATCATCAAGAGAAGTCATTGTTTACAAAAGCTGTTAGTCCCTAATTCCAGCTCTATCTAGAATTGGCCCTTTCAAATGCTGTGTTGCTGGTAGGAAAAGTGAGTTGAACCAATCTTCGAAAAAAAAATTTATCGAACCAGCCAGAAGCACTTTGATTATAGCGCATTCCTTGAGGGTCGTTAAGCGTCCACAAATTCCATAGGTACTCTGCCTTGAACACCACGTATTATGGCAACAGTTCTCCAGTTGCACTACCGCAAAACATAACGGAAGTGGCAGATTTACTGAAGTTCCTCACATTTTCAAAATATTTTAAACCACGCTTAAAATCATTACCCGGATCATCCGATAGATTTGTCTCATCGTTATTGAAGATGTTGGAAACAGGAACGTATTCGTCAATTTTCTCCCGTGTTATTCCTGCTCGGCTAATTTTTCAACATTATCGTCTACCGTTTCCGTGATCCGGATGATACGTGGAATATTTAGATGGAATGTTGTAATAATTACACAATTGATGATCATTTAAAACAAATATAACTTTGATATGCTAATGATAAAAACACGTCATATTTTGATATCAAGATCGAAACGCGAGAAACTAATGGTACTGAAACGAAGCGAAGAGGCAAGCAGCTGGTGGGTGAGACTATTTAGGAAACTGAAATCTCCTGGTCAATTCCGGAACATGGTCATCAGCATGGTGGGATAGTTTACCCATCTGGGATACAGATCTGTCCCGTTTGTAGCCCAAAGAAAGGAAGCGCCAAATGACCAACAATCCCAGCACTGTGCCATTGAATCAAAGCAAATCCTTCCAACTGCTGACCGACGGGAAGTGTCCGTCAATAAGATCCCCTTTTTTTCAAGGTAGTATAGCAATTTGACAACGCTGTTGCATAGCAAAATCTGTTGTAGTTGCTGAAATGCATTATCCTAAAATGAATATCACCTATTAATTCCCTCAAACTCACTCACAAGCTCGCCCACAACTCAAGTTACCTTAATATTTGAAATCCCAGGACCCGATTCAGTCATCCTGTCTCCGCGGTTCCAAGTTATTGATAATGAATCAATCCTTTAAATTTGTCGAACCTCTTAACGGAATCCCTCTATGAAGAACTTTGAGTGGGTTGGTTTATTTCCTTTAAATTCCGTTGCTTATCTTTTGACATATACGCGTATTTCGTCTACTACTTGCAGACTTCATCAGTGCCAAGTACTTGGTGTTGAGTACTTGGCACTGATAATGTCAGCAAGTAGTAGACGAAATACTCGTATCTGTCAAAAGATAAGCAATTCAAGACCAACAATTGAAATGGCCTTAACTCAATTTTGTAAAAAAGCCTTGTAAGGCCATTTTCTCCCGAACCGAAGTCCGCAAAGGCAAATCAACATAATGAACAGGTAGGGGAAATTCTCCTCTACCCGATTGTGGTTTAGGTTTGCGAATGAAGGTTTCGGTTCGCGAGAAAATTGCCTTACAAGGTTTGTTTACAAAATAGAGTTAAGGCCATTTCAATTGTTGGTCTTGAATTATAACCGAATTTAAAGGAAATAAATCAACAAACTCAAAGCTCTTGATAATGAATCTTATCTATCAATCGTCGCAAACGGCAAACCAGCAGCCGCTGGATCAATACGCTGTTATCGACATACAACAGGGCCAGCTGATGACTGAAACAAAAATAAAACCAACGCAATCAGCATCCATTCCATTGCATATCCTATGTTGCACCACTTACCGAGAAGTAATTTCTTACTGTAAAGTACACACCCACACACAAGTGGCCTCCGTTTGATCTGGCATATGTTTAGTTTCTATATTTTTTGCGCGTTGATAACCATTGGGAGATGAAATGAAAACTTTGACAATTCCTTCAGAGATGGTGTTGGTTATTTCATTGTTTTTGTTTTCACAACCATTCAAAATTTGCATTTAATAAAATTAAAGAAAACAAAAGAAACCCAAGATACTAAATTTCTTTAAAAAGGCACAATTGAAACCCGAAAAACAATAAGCCGTTGCCAGTGGGGCCAAATTGACAGTTCGTCGAATAAAAGGTTCGAAAACAAAAGGGCTTAGTCAAAATTACTGAATACAGGGGAAATGGATGTAATGTCGGCGTAAATGCCTCTAATTTGGGCCCATGCATAAATTCAGCAATCGACTAAATTTTCAATAGCGACCAAAAATATCCAATGACGCGTTCATCTAGATAAAATTGATGAACAGCAGAATTTTAGCGATGGGCCCAATCTTAGATCCATAGGCCAACATTAGAGCCATTTCCCCTAAAGGGCAAAATCTAATTTTGAGGATTTTTAACATTAAAATCACAAAATAAAAATCGAACCTATAATGAACTGATTAGCAAAGACCAACTCAAGCTAATCGGTGTAAATAATAGACCTGCACTGAATACTGATTTAAAATAAATCGTTTTTTTTTTTCGAAAACTTTGACAGTGTATTTCACAGTTCGACATCTGTGTTAGTTTCGCCCTTTTGAAATGTTGATGCCGAAGTATACGCAAAGGCAAGAAATTAATATTTCTAGACTCAAATTTGGAAAGGGCGGAGGAGCCAAACATAAATAGTTTGCCACTTATAGAGAGAACAGTTCACAAACTACTCAATAAACACGGAAAAGTAGAAGAAAACATCATTTCAAATTATCAAAAACGGTTCCGTTTACATGGCTTATTTCCAATGTTCTATGATATTGTTTTAATATGTAAAACGTACTGATTATGTGGTGTTATACCCCGTATAGACTATGGCTAATATAATGTAATATAGGCTGTCTTGCAATGAGCACCCATACATAGGATTTCCAGTGAAAACTAGATGTATGAGTGCTCATTGCAAGACAACCTATATTACATGATATAAGCCATAGTCTGTACTAGAGAGAGTCTTTTATAAGAGATGAGCGAACTGACTGGTTTCGAGCTAAACGAACTGTCAAAGCCAGACCCAATCAAACAGCGACTATCTTGATTGCATTGGCAGTGTAGCTAGAAATCACCCAGGCATAGGTTGCCAAGGCAGTTTATTTTGAATCCGCTCCTCTCTTATACTAGACCCTCTCTAGTCTGAACGGGGTATTATAGTCTTATCACGCCCGATTAATTTGAAATACATCCGTGTAAACAACGAACAAAAAGAAAACCAAAAAAATCTCCGGGTCAAAAAATTTGCGAAAGAAGAACCAAGGCGGAACAACAAACCAAAAATCCCGAGGGTGTATTTCCACGACGTATCACCAGTGTTAAATTGTGGCAGATCCTGGGCGCAG